CAATGGATGCTCTGGTTTAGATTGTATTAGATAAAATTGAACAATCAACTTTGTAATTCAATATCATCTTAATTATTGAAGGTGGGTTGGCACTAATAATTATTTTGGTTCAATCAAAAACTATGTTTAATTCTTCAGATTTAAAAAATCGAATATTTCAATTATTAAGTCATCTGAATCATGATACTATTCATGAAATCATTATTCAATTAGGTGAAATGAACCCTTATCATACAATGACATCCACAATTTAGAATCAATCGACAATCAATAATTAATAATCATCTCGTCTCATTAAACAAAAAGCTACTCTATAAATCAATCATAAATTGATCAATCATAAATATCAATCTCTTAAATCCTTCATGTTACCTTTAACCTATTTTATAATATTCCTAACTTTAGGATTGTCAGTTTCCTTTTTGCATTTAGAATATTACTCATAATACAAGTAGTCTTTGAGAACTACCTTTTAGTTTGTTAAGTTAAAGAAAATATTTGATAGTTCAGTTTTGTTGGGGGAACTCATTAAAACAGAATACTTAATAAACTCAGATTCATTGTAACACATAAATTAAATTGAAATTATTTCACAGTTTTTTAATTATACTGATCAATTGTTGCCTATCATTAATAACATCATTGACGAAGTTATGGAGAATGATATTTTTAATTCATCTACCCAAGACCTAATTATGACTGCTTTGCAAGGGAATTTATGTGAAAATTTCCAGAATTTTTATTATTTTTGCAACATCTCTTCAACTTTGAATTATACTGAAAAAGATATTACTTATATGTATTTAACTTAGGGGATTAGCGGCATGATGCAAAAATATTAAAGTTTATTATAGAGTGAATTTTCATTTGAAAGAGACTCCCTACAATATCAAACCAACACTACATTACTATAGGAATTTTTGGATTCTTAAATTCATTAGAACATATTTGTGTAATATTTTTATGATATGGAGTACTTAGTCTTTACTAGTTTCCATTATTTTTATGATCAAACCTTAGCTCTGGGTTAGGAGGTTAAAGACAAATTAAGTTACTTCTTCTTATACTCTGGACTGATGTATTTATAACTATCCTATTATTTCTAGTTCATTGGCTTTGATAACTGTAGAATTTCTAATCTGGTATTATTTGGAAGATTAAGAATTTACTTAATTGAAATTTATAATTACACTACTGCCCTAGTCTTTGCTCAGAAATAGGAACATTAGTAGATTGGTTCTCAGAACTTTTACTTAAATTTATTGAATAATTAATTGACTTTATAGTTATATATATATATATAATTATGAAACAAATTAAACCAGCTGCTTCAATTCCAACTAAAGTCAAAGGCAAAGATCTTATTCTTAAATCATAGAACGTATAAAAAATAAAGCAATATGAATTTGATCACTTTTTAGAAAAAGTTAATCAACCATAAAGAATAGATAAATTCACAGAGTAAGTTCCTCCTCTCCCTTGCCAATTTAAATAGCGCTAAGTTAAAGAGATTATAACTCTGCCAGAATTTATCTAAATGGAAAATCCTCCCCCTTTTGGAGGTGCTCAAGCTGTCAATGACAAGGATGATGTAACAATTTTGCTATTATAAGTAAGCCATTTTGGAGGAGAAGTTGTAGATGGAGTTGTTTTAGTACCTGAAAATTAAGCAATTGAAATAAGAAGAATAGAAAGAGAGATATTCTTCTATCCATGAGGATAACTATTCTGACACTATTGTTACAATTGAGAACATTTAACATGAATTGTAAAAGGAACATGATCAGTATATAGAGAAGTTTGTAAAGAAACTAGAAGAAGAGAAAATTGAAAAGAAAGTTTAAGATTTTGTTAGGTTGCCGCTACCAGAATTGCTGAAGATCCCAAATCAATTCCCCATCTAAAAGAAGGTAATCTATAATATTCTAATAATGCTTAGGATCAATATAGGGCGCTATCTGCATAAGACAGGAAACAGGTGCAAAATGAACACGAAGTAAAGCAATAGGAGATCAAGGCTGAAATTCCAAAAAAAAGTCTATAAGAGATGGAAAAAATGATTGAAGAAACTAAGAAAGACTATTTCAAAATTATAAGAGATTTGGATTTCCTAAATAAAGGGGCTAGACAATTGAAAAATGCTACTTCGTAATAGTATGGTATCAGAAAGAAGGTTGATGAGCCTAACATCGAAAAACTAATCAAATAAGTAAAAGATACAATTTGGTATACTGAAGGTCTAACTAATGGATTTGATAGAGAAATGGCATTAATTTAGCATAAAAATTCTAAGGCTAAAAATCTGATTGACATCAACAAAGTATTAGAGCAATCTGATCTGTAAGAATAAAATTAGCAAATAATTAACAAAGAGGAAATTCCAGTAAAAAGTGAGAAACAGGAGGATAAGAAATTAAATAATTCAAGCTTAATTTCATAAAAGACACAAGCATCTGCAAAAACTGTCACAAAGGTGGTGAATTCTAAAAAAGGCAAAGAACTTCAAGATATGATGTCTGATGATTTATTCTGAAAAAATTACTATGATTTTAATATAATATGAGTGACATTGTTTTTGTGTATTGGTTGTTACAAATTTGACAAAGCTAGAATGCCTCTACTTTTTATTAAATTATAAAATGCTCAAATTAAATCAATTATTATTTTGAGATTTCGTAATTTTATGATTTAAAATCACATAAATTTATTTAATAACAGACTCGCTGTGTCATGGATAATAATGTTAATAGTGTTCCAATTGCCGATCAATAATCTTCCCAAAGGGTCTAGCTTAATAATTCGAAAAATAATAAATTAGATTACAATTAGCTTTTAAAGTATTCTTAAGCTTGTGATCTACCAAAAACAGAAATTGATACCCTATTAAAAATATTCAAAAGATTAGACATCAATAAATAGGGCTTTTTGAGCTATCACGATATGATTGATCTATTAAAGGGTATGTAATTGTGAATTGAAAAACTAGAATTTGGATTCTTAATTGATTAATAATGCAAGGAAAAGATCTTTAAAGAAATCGAGCTCAGAAATACGTAATAATTGGACTTCTAAACTATCATTTTCGTTACAAAAGTATGCAAGGGATTCGAATCAGAGAACAAACATGAGGAACAATAAATACACTTTAATGAATTCAGTACAATACAAACAATCTATTTTAGTCGATGCATTTGTAGCTCTAGGAGGAGAACCTGACGCAAGTGGGTATGTCCACAAAAATAGAATAATTGAAATTTTAAAAGACGAATTTGATTTATAATTCGATATTGATGATTTTTTAGAGTAATTGGAAGTTCAAAATGATTAACTTGATTTTGACAATTTCAAAAGTCTCTTTAAAGCTAACAATAAATAATCGATGAAAAAAAATAGTAGTTTGCTCTCCGTACATATACCCTCTAAATTCTTAGCTCTTTTCATAAAGATCGATGGTGAAATCTACTTCTAGTATATCTACAGTAAAGATAAGAATGAAAGACTTTGAAAAATTCGTTTAGAAATTGGAATAAGAGGATTCTGAATTTCTCAGCTAAGCATCCCCAATAAAGAAGAGCTGAGTGATCATAATTCATTTATTATTATAATTTAAAACATACTAATGGGTTATAAATAGATCAATCAAATATCATTATAAAAAGACATTCATGTTGAATATGTTAAATTTAAGTACATGAATATTTATATGTATTTTGAATTATTATTTTTCTTTAGAATTTTAATCATATAGTTTTTAGTTGATAATCTTTCAATTCCAAAAATCAATTTTCTTTTATCAAATGATTGCTTTAAATTATGCTAAAAATATTAAAATCTAGACCAATTTCATAATATTAATGTTTCAAAATATTAATAATGATATAAAATATAGGTTATGATAAAAATTAATAGAATTTTTGTATAAATAGGAAAAATCGAAATTTAAAGAATTAGAGCTTTGGCAAAATTAGGAATTGATTGTTAATAAAAAATGCAGTATTTAGCAATGGATTTATATTAAATAGAAAATTATTATAAAATTATGATAACTCTACACTTTTTTTACAATATGGAGAAACCTATTTGTGAAAAATTCCAACTCATTCCTGTTAAATTTAGAAAGAACCTTTGTTAAAGAGTCAGAGACATAAAGGCAAAGTAACAAAGAAAGAAAAAGAAAAAGGAAAGAGGAAAGTATAGAAGCTATAGTCTAAGTTTAAAAATTTGTGCGCTCAAATGGATCGAGGAAGGAATAGATGAAAGAACGATTTCAGATAAATTAGATATACCATTAAAGAACATAAGAAGGTGGAAAAAGCAAGGTCCTTTTCGAAAGTAAGGATGTGGGCGCAAATCAATCGATTTGGAAATGGAATAAAAATTGGCAGCATGGTGTCATGAAACTATTAGAAATACCAATAAAAGAGTCTCTCGAGCCATGATTTAAACTTAGGCATTGAAAATGATTAAGTAAGGAGTTGATTTCAAAGCAAGCAAAGGATGGACAGATAAATTTGTTAGAAAATATAAACTAATTAGAAATAAAAGGATTTCAAAATCATGAAATATAATAATTAATATATAATTCATTTAAGGCAATCAACTTTATTCTATCAACCAAAAATTACTAATCTATGTATGTCTAATGTTCAACTTATTACAATTAAGGGAAGTTTCAAATCAATAAATTGACTGAAATGGGTTAATCATCTTCTTTTAAATTAAGCACTATACCTATATGAATTGCAAGTAAAGATGAATATCTAAGACAATAAAGGAGAATCTTGATTTTTTTAGCTACTACTTTAATAAGTTATTATATTTTTGTTATCAAAATAATATTTGATGTATGTTTCAATGTGAATAAATAGAATTTTTACAATTATTGTCATTTAAAGATAGAGATATGAATGAATTCTCAAAAATATATATTGATAAATAATTACATTAATTATCAACAAAAAAACAAGAATAATTTTTATATTATTTATTTTAATATCTCTGCATGATCCTTAAATAGTCTAGATTTCTGTTTTCTACAGTTATTTTTGATCTAAAGGGTGAACCTATATAATTCCAGAAACCTAAATATGTAAGTAGTAATAAAGGTAACATACTTAGAGTCAAATGGCTTCAGAAATATTTTATAAGATGGTTAAAATAGAGGGTAAATTTGAGAAAAACAACATTGATAATTTCCTACAATAATAATTAAAAGAATAGGAATTAACCAAAATCAAGCGAAAAGAGGTAAATAAATCACTACTAATTCATAGTTTTTAATAATAGGTACTTTTTTGTACAATTATAATTTTGTTTAGGAAGATCAAATGTGGGCAAATCTAGTTTATTAAATGCTTTATTAGGAAGGAATGTTGCTGAAACTTCGAATTACCCTGGGAAGACAAGATCCTTAGACTTTTATAATTTAGGTTAATCAAAGGTGATAGTTGATTCTCCCGGATATGGTTTTGCAAAGGGGAATAAGAAGGATGTACAAAATTGGGGATATCTTATGCAATATTATATCAAAAACTCTCCTTTCTTAAAATAATCGTATGTTCTGATTGACAGTGAGCATGGGTACTTAAAATTACATAATCATCATCAGATTTAAGGATGTGGATGCTATGACACTATAATTGATGTAAAGTTTGGAAAAGCCATTTACAATTGTATTCACAAAGTGTGATAAAATTTCCAAAATTGATGAATTAGTTTAGAAAAGTAGAGAAAAATTGGAAAAGCATATCTATTCGTCTCAAGTGCTTCATTTTACAAGTGTGAGGTAATGTAAGCATTTTAATTAATAAGAAATAGATCTGGTCTAGTTGAATTATAATAAAGTATAGCCTTCTATTGTGAATGAGTATTTAAAATTATAAGATTATTAATTCTTGAGAAACATATAAAAAGATGAGCATATGAGATAATTTCTTATTTTAGGCCGTTTGTTTTGTCAATGTAGTTTTCTTGTTATGAGTTAAAAATTAAATAATGGAACGGATAATGAAACTATATTTTTGTAATATCATCAATTTTATTTGAAAACATAAAGATCACTTAGTTCACTATTTATTAATGATGAACTTATTAGTTGAATATATTTAATAATGAAATTTAATAATAAAGAATTTTGGTATTATTTCAAATGCTTAATTGACATTGCTCTATCGGCGATAATTTATGGTTATTCAAAAGATTCTTTTATTGTAACTATCAATACAGTTACAATCTAATTGTTGGGCATAATATTATCACCTTGCATTAAGAAGAAATTTGGTGGAAAGAAGAGAAAATATATATAAATTGTAATGTAATTGGCTTAATTGGCACAAATATTTTATTGTTGCTTCTACTTCACAGAAATATTGAGATATGGCTATTTACTTATTAAATTTTATGAGAAACAATTAATAGATAATCTATAAAAGCAACTTAGTTACATATTTTTAATTGCTTTGAATGCTCTTTAGTTGTTTTTGATGATATCGTCAGATGAATAAGGAGTTACTTATTTTACAGTAGGATATGCAACGATGTTGATCTTTAAGGAAAAACATCAAAATTTGAAAAAATAAGAGAAAAATAAATTTAAAGAGTTAGAAAAAACAGACATCAAACCCACAATATATTAAACCAGATAATCCTTGTTAATTAATCGTATAAGTGAATCTGTTAGTTTGAAGTGGATGAATAAATTATAAACCTTTCCTGTTGGGATTGTAATTGTAAAAAAATAAAATTTAGAAATTTTATTTGAAAATGACCAATTACTATAGATTTTTGAAGCTGAAAATGATATCGGGAAGTTTATTCTTGAGAATTTGGATTGCACAATAATTCAAAAAAAAAATACCTATTTTATGCATCAAACCAGTATAGTATTAGACAAAAACGGAGTACTCTAAGCATCAGGGACATTGAATTTAACACAATAAAAAATGTAAAATAAGACCTTTACGATTAAACAAATTTTAAATTTATTAAATATGGGGCATTTAGAGAAATTAAAGACTCGTGATGATCAATTAGAATTATCAGCTACCTTTTGTAAAGGAAATGAAGCCTTTTTTGAAGAGAGAAATCTGTTATTTAAAATTTCATCGGCCTAAGACGAAAACGAATTTTTGATTATTATTTAAGATATAACACTCTAAACAAATTTCAAGAAAATAGAAACAAAAGAGCAGTTTATCGTAAAAATGATTGATTCCTTCTCCCATGAACTAAGAACACCATTGAATAGTGCAGAACTATTTCTCTAAGCTTTAAGTTAAACTAATTCCTTGCCTGTTTAATTAAAAGAAAATTTTATAGATCCTGCAAAAAATTCATTAAGATTACAAGCATACATAATAAGAGACATAATTGATTTCACACAATTTAATTAGAAGATGATCAAATATGAATTTTCAGACTTCAATTTTGTAGATATCATCCAAGAAATCAATGATCTGTTTAAACTCATTTTTTAACACAAAAAAATAGGATTGCATGTCAATGCTCAAAGGTCTATTCCACCTGTCATAAAATCAGATTATTATAGAATCATGCAAATCTTAGTAAACATTCTCTCAAATTCAGTTAAGTTTAGTTCCAAAGGGTAAGTGGAAGTAGTCATTCAAGGCTTTGAGGGTTATGTGTTATTTAGTATTTAAGATTAAGGATAAGGCATAGAGCCATAACTCTTGACAAAAATCTAATAAACCCTTCAAGATTTTGCATTGAATAGAAGTCTTTCTTAATAGCATGAATGGTAAGGATTGGGACTCTTGGTGAGTCAGATGAATTTGATAACTTTGGCACCTCAAAATAAATCCCATCTTTAAATTACATCTAAAGGATTAAATCAAGGAGTTGAAGTTAAATTCAGAATTAAGACTCAAAGCCAAATTTTCACTTAATAGTTGCCTTAGCATAAAACTTATAAAAGAGGATCTCTATAAACACCCAACACAGTTCCGGATCTCAGCGAAGGGCTATAAGGTATTAAAATTCAATTAACATAATTAGGTTTATTAATAATTACAAATGCTGAATACAAGAATACTTCAGTCAAAAATATACCTGTTAAGGAACTTCCTTCAGTGGCTGAGTATTATGGGAGACCGTCATCTAATTAGATGGTTGGATTGTAGAATTAAGTGGAGACGGATCTTCAAATTCAAGGTATAAAGTGATATTATATTAGCATTTAGATTCTGATAGATATGGTTTGACTCATCAGCTAATTCAAATATAATAAAATTTCCATCCTAAATTTATGACTACTAAACAAAGACAAAATTCATTAGCGTCAAGAATGTAACAAAGAAATGATGACTAGAGTTAACTGTAAACAAACTTCAGTAAAGTAAAATTCAAATTTAAATGTTAATGTTAAAGAGCTTTGTCAGTAGATGATGATTCTTTCAATCAAAAAGCTCTTGAAATGATTCTTGGACAAATGGGATTTGAGATACAACTTGCATATAATGGTTAATAAGCAATTGAAATTGTCAAAAATGCTAAAAAATGCTGTGAAAATTGTTAACTCTATGCTTTCATTTTGATGGATTGTTAAATGCCTATTCTAGATGGATGGTAAACAACCAAAAGATTGAGGAATATGATGAGTGGGAATATCATACCCTAGATTCCTATAATTGGATTGACTGCATTCAATGGGTAATATGAAATAGAAAAATGTTATGAAAGTGGAATGCAAACAGTTTTGACTAAACCATTGAATATTGATGACTTCAAACAAACTTTGATACGCATTTACAGGTTTGTTTTATGAATTAGTAAAGTAATATGAACTATTGATTTGACATGATATAAATTTCAAATTTTCTTATCAGCTTAATCTGGTATTTTAAGCATTTCTTATTAATTATAAATCATTATACCTTTGATTTTCTCATCGAATGATGTGTCATCTAAACTACTTAAATTAATTGATGGGAAATATGCTTTTGGATCAAAATATCCTAAAATAGTCATCTAATAATTATGAACCTTTTGCAATCAGGAAGTTTTATCTTAAAACTATTTCTTTGACCTTGTTGTCATCGAAGTATATCATGTCATCATAAGGATCGAATTCTTAAGTTCCAGGTTTTCCCAATCTCAGGAACTCCCGAATTTTCTCTGGGTCTAACGATTATCCTTTAGGAATATTTTGAGTTGGCTTATAATTTATGACCTTGTAAATTTATGACCACGCTTCAGGATCGTTTCTATCTAAGATTTTACTAAAATGGGATTACATTTATCCAATAAATTAGCAAAATCTTGCATCACTTATTCAGGTTTCTGCATGTTAATTTTTAAATTATTAATATTTTATACTGAATATACTCACACTCATTTAATTCTCACAGCATCTATTTGAATTAAGGTAGGTATTAAGGACAGTAATTGCATTTTGTAATCAGGGAATTAAGCCACAGGATTTTATTCGACATAAATAGTTTTGATACTTTAATTGAGTTTTAATTATTCAAAGTCTTTAAAATATTCAATTTTATTATTATTTAACTATTATTATTATTATATATAATACCCATAAATCTTATAGTTATTATAATTAGTCTATTCCTTAAACTTTAGTAATCTTATTATGAGCTAGATCCAACAATTCCAATTATTTTAAGGTATTCAAATTTTCAATAGTTGTTATGAAATTTTCAGCTATTTAAAGGTAATTCAAGTTTTATAGACATTGAATTTCAGGTTGTATTATTTAAATTTTATTGCAAGATAAGGATAATAATTCTAATGTATTAGCTAAAGGCTCAAGATTTTTGATAATCTAGATTTTATTTTTGCCTAAAAACAATTCTCTTAAGTTAGGTAATCTATCAAGATTTTCAATTTCTGCTATTTTATTGGATCCAAGTTCCAACATTGTAAGTTCAGGAAAATCTAAATTTTAGATCTTGGAATAATGGTATATGATTACCTTTTTGATTTTGTTACTTAATAAAAACAGTTTCTTGAGTTTCTTTTGGTTTTCTAAATTCTCTATTTTTTTGATATTGTTGAATGACAGATCAAGGATTTCTAGATTGACCAACAATTCAATATTCTCTATCTTAATCAAACGATTATCGTATAAATCTAATTCTTCAAGCAATACGCAATTTTGGAGTCCTTCCAATTTGGAAATTAAATTTGTTCTTAAACATAATCGTTTCAGATTCACACATTTGTCTAGAGCTTGTATATTTGGGATTCTGCCTTCAATGCAACTGATATCCTTGAATGAAATTATTAGTTACTTCATCTTCGGGATTGATTTCGAAAGGAGGCTGTCCGAGATATTTATACTAGATTTTTTGCTTCTCTTATTCAAAAGGTTGAACAACTACTTTCTTCTCGACTTGCTTTTAATTCTCAGCATTTTGGTTGTCTTATTGTTATGGTTGATTGTCAGCCTCTTAATTTTAATTCATTTTGATAATGTTAAAAATAAATTTCTTTTATAAATAATAAGGATATATTTAGAGTTCAGTTGAGCTGTTGATTTTCATAAATATTAATAAGATCAAATAAAATAATAAATAATAATGAATTTGTTTTGGATTTTAAAATATTATTAATTTACAAATAAGAGATGAAACATCATACCAAAGAATATTAAATCAGCAAAGAAAATTTGAAGATAATTCGATAATCTGAATTGATTCAAAATACTCAGGTTTGGACCAACAAAAATTTGTTCCTTCGTTATTGCCAATCCTAGAACTACTATTACATTAGAGACGTAAACGAAATTCTTGCCGATGCTTCATCAAAAGCCGTAATCCGCTTCAAGGATTGGCATGGATATGACGATGATGTAAGTTTTTCAATCATTCTAAGGATGAATATCTCAAAAGGTATTATTACACTGATGAATATCCATAGAAGGTCCAGTTGTTAACTGAATACTATAAAGTAAAATTAACCATCTAAAAGAGTTTCATACAGATATAGCCAGATTATACATGGAACCGATTGCGACCTTGCTCAATAAATACTACGATAAGAAACGCAAATACGAGTACTATAGGATCGCTCATTTGATCGAAGAGGAAAATAAAAAAAATCCAAATCGACCTCCAAAAGGAATTGTAGGAGAACGACCCTCTCCTGCTAACTCTCAGGAAACCTAAAAGGAGGAAGAATCACCTACAACAGCAAAGAGAATCAGAAACATTCAAATATTGAAAGACCTGAGTTGGTTAAATAAATCAAGATTATTTAATAAATAGAAAATTGATATCTCCTGTACTCTACAAGATATATGCAAACATCTGGGGAACTAAGCCTTCGAACAATCCTCACTCTTCATTTAGACAGGAAAAACAGAGGAGTTGAAACTAAATAAGTTTCTAGCATATGTGAATCAGTAGGTTAAGAAAACTTACACTAAAAGTGATTCTCAACAATTAAAGCCTAATCAGAAATTGAGTCAACCCCAGGAATAGTTAATTTAAACTTTAATTCAAAAACAATAAGAAGAATCAAAATCAAGGTTGGGTTCCTAACATTAAAAATAAAACACTGAATTATTACTTTAGATGAATAAACTATCTAAAGACTTCAATCTTAATTTTGTGAGAAATCAAGTCGATTCCTTATTCAAAAATATTCAGAGCAAAGAAAATCCCCAAAGTCTTACAAGAATCAATCAGAATGAATAGATTAAATAATCTGCCAATCCAAAATCCAAAACTATTATTTAACACCAACCAAAGATATCCACTCAACTTTTTCTTAAAGAACTAAAGAAAAATGTGCAATCTATTCCTTAATTACTCAGTAAATATAATGCATCCAATATACCATCACCTACAACTAATTCTCAGAATAGGGTCGTAGCTTCCAATTAGCCCAATATAGGTAATGAATTTCATTAATCTTTTAGGCAAATTAAATTTAAAATAGATATCTAAGATATTGATTGAGGAAGACCCTACTGAACAAGAAGTCAAATGGAAATATGGATCTCAAACACATAGACCTCATTCTGGAACTCAAAATTTCTTTTCCAATAGAAACAGTCCCACCATTTCCAGAGCTTAATAAAATGATCTGAAAATCAATAAAATCAAATAAGCACCCACTCCAACATCATAATAAGCAAATCTAAAAACAACAAAATAATCAGGATCTTAAACCAATCGAAAATCTTCTCAACCTAATATTCATATTCGATATACATCCAATTAGGATAAAGTCATTAATATAAACATAAACATTAATGATAATCCAGAACTATAAAAATGTAATTGTTACTAAATATTCATTAGAATAATAGTAAAAGCATAAGAAAAATTAATCCGAAGGAAAACCTCTTTAGTTAAATACTAATCTGCCTGATTCTAAATAGGAATATGTCTGCTTAACAGACAGAGGAGGGGCTAGTGAATTTCTATTCAAAAATAGTATTGCTGCTTCATGTCAAAACTCACCAAAAACTTAAAAAATAAAACGAGTCAGCAGTGGAACAACAACGCTGAAATGTTCAATGAGTACTAAAAACTCCCTAATCCAATAAATGATATCTTAAGTGAGTAAATAATAGTAAAAATAAGAGGTTCTTTCATCTTAATTTAGAAAACCTAATTGAAAATTATCATTTAATTATCAAATTTAATATGTAAAATAATGATCTCTCAAACTCTCTTTACTATTCCAATCGGTCTTAATTTAAATAAAGCATTTATCGTGGATATTTTATGCTAAAGAATACAAATATTAGTATCCTTGAAACCAGGAATAAATTAAAATATGAAACCAATCGAACAGAACTCAATGAATCTTTCTTCATTTCTAACTCCTTATAATAATTTCCAAGTAAAAAAGTTGAAATTTATGATAATATGTCATGCCTTGAAGATTCATAAGAATAAAAAATTCTTAAAAAACCTCTCAAAGGACATCAATGCATATCCAATTTAAAACCATCATAAAAACTTTAACAAATACTACCATAACTATCCTCCACCCAATAGGTCGTTAGTTTGAAATTAAAGAGTCGTTAATAGAAGGTCAAGCCGATAGTTAAATAATAAAGGAATAACGAATGTGTTATTTAATTGAGATACTTGAACAAGTAATTTGAAGAATTGTAAAAAGGGTTAATTTTAAAATGCCTTTACATCAATACGAATGACCGTGATTAATCTATTGATAAGATAGTAATAATGAATTTTGAAAGTATTTTATAACCATTACTAAAGACCTTTTGATATAATAAAGGAAAAACTTTTGGGATTTCAGAACTGAGATGAAAATTTGTCCTTCCTTTCTAAGAGGCAGTATCGTTGAGTAATGTGAAAGCCCATATTGTCCATGCGCATTAAGAAATGATTTAAAGAACACTCTAAAAATGTAAACTAATTATTTTAATTTATAAGATTGTCTAAAACTTACTTGATTATTTTGATATTTAGTAGCTAAGCTTTCGCTCAAGTATGGTAAAAGTATTTATTTTATAATGGATTTTTTATTGATGCCATATACATTAGTAAAAATCAAACTTAACCTTAGTAATAACTTGGAGGGATAAAGCTTAATCAAATAGTTAGAGACTTCAGTAGGTTTAATATTGCTAAAGTTCTTTATTTTGATTCAGTCGACATGACAAACACATTCCCTATTATTTCTGCTGAATAATTTCAAAACAAATTGCCAATACTTGGTTCTAGTGTTGACACAATCTTATTTATATTCTAATAACTCTAAAATCCTAAATAGTTTGATTCGAAACTCATTTGTGACATATGTGTATCTTTCTCAAAAGAGAATAATTATCGGTCTATCACCAGCAGAAAATCAGTTACCATAATCCCTATAGATATAACTTATGCCTACAAATATTACTAATTTAAGGAGAAGATATCATAAGATAAATTATAGATCGTTGATAAATTAACTTTCGTTTAAGAATAATTATAATCGAACATTGATTCGTTTGACATAAGTCTTATTGAAGAAGAAGAAGACTCATAATGTAGATGGGTTGATTCTATGAATAGTAAGATGTCAGATTAAATAAAAAAAGAGAAATTCAAGGAAAAGACACATCTAATTAATTATGTAATTAGTGATCTCATAGCAAGGAATCACAAATTTAAGAAAATATATTTTAATTATCCTGAGTAATAATTAATTAAAAAATAATAATTGATTAATAAAAAGATGACTAGATTGAATTCAGAGATGATTGTCCAATAAAATAAAATGAAAAATTTGTTGTGCATTAATTGTTTTTTATGTATTGAATGATTTATATTTATTCTTCATACTAATGTAATGAGTTTAGAAATCAGTTTGTACTAATTTAAATGTTAATTATATAATTATGAAATTACTGATATATGAAGATTGGAAAAATTCTGCTTCATCAAGAGATAATTTCACATTCCAATAAGAAGTAAAAATACAATCAGAATGTTATCAAATCGCTCGTGACTTTGAAATTTTACTCAAAAATAGCGAATAAAGCACTTTCAATCAATACTTTCAAAAGGCACTCTCTATATTCCACAGATTTGCTCATTAAGTTTCTTATAAAAAATTCAATAGACACATATATATGGCAGCTTGTTTATTTCTATCAGCCAAAGACAATGACATGTTTGATTGGTCTGTCAAGAGATATTCAACTGCATTTATTAGTCATTGCTTATCAAAAAAGGCACTAGATATCGATGGTTTGAAGATTGAAGTTGACGACTCAAGTACTTAGAAAATGATCTCAGATAAAATAATAGATGCAGAGTCTCATATTTTATAGATGATAGGATATGACTTACATATCATAGTTCCTTAGGTATACTTCTAGGAAGCTAAAACAAAATTAGTTGCAGCTCAAGGAGACATTTAATAACTGTTTGAATTCGCTTAGAAGTTCCTATCAGACTTATTCCTTAATAATGCATGTCTATACTATGAACCAAAAATAATTACTCTTTGTGCAATTACCATGGCTAGCAAATTATTAAAAATAACAATAGCAGATTTACCTAATGGGGAACCTTGGCACTCCTTATTTGATCAAAACTTAGAAGTCAATGCTTAGACTCAAAAGGAAATATTAGAAATGACCAATTATTTCGATTAGTGCATATAAATTCTAAAAAGCTGACGAGGAATGTGAATATTTTCAGCAATTATTTAACATCAAAAAATTCTTATTATGCTCCTATTCTTAGAAATATTGTATACTATATTTATATTTTCTTGAATTCTCTTTGTCATACAAAGACATTGTTATTCTATTGAGATCCCTTCTAAAATTGATATTGCAAAGATGTTTTAATATTGGTTGACCATTTTAAGCCCTTAAAAACCAGTGTTAAAACTTTGATTGTGATAAAACTAATTAAACAAAAATAACATTCTGAAATTGAATTGCCACATTACTCAATTAACTGAATCACTATATCTACTAGATATATAAATTAATTTAATATAAGATTAAATAATCAATACATATTGTAGATTCTAGAGGGTTGTTTCTAAGTAAATCTAAGAAAATTTATAAATATCATTATTTGAGGGATCAAGTACCATATTTTGATAAAAGATAGAGAGTTTAAGAAGCAATAGTCAAGGTTTCAGTTTTCTTGTATTATATTTTCTTTGTCATTTGCGTACATATTTCATAAGGGTCAGGTGATTTTTTGCGTTTTACATAACCATTCAATTTTCTTCGAGCTACTAGGCTAGAGCCTAAATATACTTTCTTTAATGGACTATTTGATCGCGATGACTTTGGTGTAGTTTTTTAACTAGTAATTTGCGAATGGATTGTGATATTATTGTCAAGCTAATCCACTTTATGTTATACTCTGAAGTTTGGACTTGGAATATTTAAGTCAATAACAATATTATTAACGGTGCCTTCATGCTAAGTTGAAATCCTCAATCTTTTGAATTTATTCGGAGAATTTTAGTACTCTTGCTAGAAGTAGTTCGGCTTTAATTTGATCCCATTAAGAGGTTGTTATAGAATTTCAAGGAATTTTGATGGAGGTTCCTTGAAATAGGAAAATTATAGTGCTTAATCAAGCATATAAAAATTTTAATAAGCTTCAAATTAAATAGAACTTCTAATGTTTTATGAAAATCATCTAAAAACTTATCAAATAACGAATTACAGACTCTATGATCCCTCATTTCGATGGCAACTGCATAATTAAGGAAGAAAGTTAATAAAAAATTTATTGAGACATTTGATGAGGATTGTTGTTATGAATGAGTGTATAGAATCATAAATGGGTGATGCTAAATTAATTTATTATTGATATCACAGAATTTTAAGGTATTTTATTTATCTTTTAGTTTTTGTTTGAATAAAGAATGAGGGCAATCATTATTACTGAGCAATATATTAGACAGCTATTATTAAGGGAATGAGGTTAAGAAAGAATTAAATTAGAAATAGAATGTGGAAGTGATTAAATGATCAAAGTACATTTATGATAGTGTTTGAATATCGTAAATGACATTTCTTAAGTTGATTCTGATTGGGTTATTTATGATGATAAGTGTAAAGAGGTTTTGGGTAGATTGATTAAAAACACACCAATAGGAAAGTAGCTGTTAATATAAAGTAATTAGATTAATAAATATTTGGAGGCATTTATATAATTAAATTTAGAAATTGAATTTGAATTTCATAGTTAAGAAATGTCATAACAAATGCAATAAATGTTCAAATAACAATAAGCTTAATAATTTTTAGCACAATAATTTTCTAGCAAACCTGATAAGATCAAACTTTCAAATTTGATTCCTACACAGATCAATGAGAACTTTTTTAACAAAAAAACTAATGATGTTATGGACAAGAAACCTTCATCACCAAGATCCAGCAATTAAGCTACTAAACCATCTTAAAAACCATCTCAACAAATTGCCATTCATAAATCCAATATGTCCTTGCAAAATAAAAGTCTTATTGTAAATGAGCAATTCCAAGAAAAATTGAATCAATTTAGTAAGAGGAGAGATTATTCGCCTAATTCCCAATTAAGCAACTATAAAAAAAATGAAGAATTCCTACAGAGAAGACCTTCATCTCTTGTGAATGAGGAATATTCAGCGACTCCTTAAATTAACAGATTTATAGCTAAATCTCCAACACCATCAGAAATATAAGAAAGCGTCGCATCTCTTCTATAAAACCATTAAAGTAATAAATACTTATGTAAATTTCAAGCTATTTCATCTCCAAAAGGTTCAAACTCTTAAAAACCAAAGACCAATCCATTGTAACTAGGTCCTTACTTGTCTATCCAGTAATAACAATAGAAATCAAACCACAAAGGGAAAGGTCATAGTTCAGCCAATTCAGTCTCCTATAATTTGAAACCTAATATTCTAAAGAAATGCGATTACGGCATGAATCACACTCCAACAAAGGTTACAACTACAACACTAAATACAGAACATAGTAAGAGTAAATCAGTTTTGGATGAACAATGCATTAGAATGATATATTATGACAGAGAGAAAGAGAATGATGTGAATTTGTTGAATATAGGTACTCCAAGTACTTATTTGCATTCTAAAGTATCGATTGAATAATAAAGTGTAAGATTATAAACTAAAAATAGGTTGGCGAAAGTTTGAATAGCAAATTCCATCATGCCAAAATTTTAAGTTAATAGTCGCCCTATTAGAATACTAGTGGATCAAATGATCATCTATAGGAATCATTTCCAGTCAGAACATGCATTAACCATAGAACTAAAAAGGCTAAGTACTTTGTAGATGAACATTAGAAACAGACCTTCTATTGTTCATAATGCGCCATTACAGTTGCCAGTTAAGGTAAAATTGTACAGGATTTAAGTCAATTGATTATCAAATCGTAGGAATCTTAAATCCTCTCATTTTAATCAAGCTCAGTTGATTCCAATAGACATTCAAACTTCTCAGATGCTAATTTCAAGGAAAGAGAATTAAGTGGTTTTCTAACAAAATTGGAATGCTCCCATTCTCAAAGAGCTGATATTTTAAATTAGATGCAGAGTCAAATTGAAAAAATTAATTTATGGTATGAATCTCAGATTGGACAATGCCAAAAGTCAAAACAAGTAATGTAGCAATTAATGAATGATGCATGCAACAACAGTGTCCAAATACTTTAAAATCAACGATAAGAATCTTTAAAATAGTTGTCTAACCTATACTTTGTTTTACAATAGCACTAATTGGATGCTTAAAATATCAAATAGGATATTGAAAAGAACTGGACTGAAGTATTAGAAGATATAAGAATGGATCCTTTCAGGAAAATCATGGATTATTATCAGTCTGAATTTGTTAAAATGAATGATTTCCAAACCCAGTTACTATCATCAACTATTTCTGTTAAATCTTTATCCAAAACTGACATTCAATCCACTTTAGCTTTGATTATTTAGAAGTATTGACTTTATCAATATATTAGTTTTTAATTAAGTGAGTCAGAACAACAACTAATTTTACATAGCAATTCAATATTCAACCAAACTATTAGAACCCAACCGACTCCTCCAAAAAAAAGAATTGATACTGTTGATTCCTAAATCCATTAATCAAATCAATAATAGAGAGTCAAAACAGATTATAGTGGTTCCAAAACTTAACCATAGAATAACGAAACCCCTTCTAATTTTTACTAATATTTTAATGATGCAAACATTTATTAGCTAAGTGCATCCAAATTATAATCATAGCAATCACAATAAAATCCAAACAAAAACAATCTATATATTTCATTTGAAAACAAAGACATTTTTATGAATATTTTAGAATCTGAAAAGAATTCAAAACAAAGTCTTCACGAAGACAAACAATCTGTTACATCAAATCCAATTATGATTTTAGAAAGTTATAGAGAATCCAAGAAAAATATAGCTGAGGATGATGGATAATTAAGTGAACATGAATCACACAAATCTACTCCCCATAGTCCTGCAAGTGGATAAACCAAATAATCAGTCTAAAGAACAGCCACTAAATTAGATGAGCATGTTTAAATACCAAAGGATGCCTTTTAAAAATAAAAAAGCACTTTCAGAACTCTTTTTGATAATACGGATGATTAATAAAATAGCGAAGTCATTCAAAATGATTCAAGTGTAAGTCCTGCTAAAAGTGAGAAATTTAGATCCATTTTAAACAAAATCTCGAATAATCAATCCAAAACATAATAGTAACTTATCCTATTTATTTTTTATTAGATTTTATCAACAGATGATTTAATCAAGTCAAAAATTTATATTAGAAACCCCTGATATTAAAAAATATGAACTTTAAGGAGTCTAATGTTTATAATATCTACAGGATACTGAAACATGCAAAAAGGCTATATTATCCAATAAATAATCTTAATTGATGGATTCTGTTCAATAAATGAATCTGTGTGATGATCAGTAAGATCCAAGTGAATTTGAAAATGACGAAGATAAGGAAGTGCAATAAATGTTTAGTTCTAAAGAAATGAAACATTTTAGTGATCAAAAACAAATGACATATCCTAGTGAATCAAGCCAAAATAATAGTCACTTAGAAATAAGAAAAGATTAATATCAAAAAACACTATTTTGTTCCCCACAATTCAAAGATTAAGACATTTTGAATATATCTGATAGCAGTGGAGATTCAAATTGATTTTTTTAATTAAAATATTAATCAATTTATTTTAGATCTAAATTATTACATGTTTAGATTAAGATTAAAATTAAAATTTATCAATTAATTAATTTTGTTTTCATAATTATATTTATTGCCTTCACTGAATTATGCGTCTTTTAGATAATTTAATTAATAATGAGAAAGGAAAAATTATTTTAATATCAAAAGAATAATTATAAAAGACAGAAGTAAGTAATAAAAATCTGAATTTCAAAATAAATAGAAGATTTATAATTTTGAATATATCTTTTCAATTTTACTAGATTCAACATAAGGAATAAGATTACTAAGGAGAAAATAAGCTAATATATTATGTCATTTAATCTAGGTGTTTGGATATCAGCATTATAAAAAATGAAACAATAGAATTAATTGCTATCTTAATGATGAATTAGATATAGAATAAGAAACTCTATTAATAAAGAATTAAATTGATAAAATTGCATTCAATATAACTTTTCATATAATTTAAAATATTGAAGAGTAAAAGTTCATCAACGTTAGTATTCGGTGTTAGATTGAATTCTAAAATCAAAATAAACTAAAAAGACTAATTTTTTAAATAAATTAAAAAATCTATGATTAGTTGTTATAAATGACAGCTTAATGATAATTGGATAGCAAATAATTATGTTTAATAGTATAAAGACCAAATGAGAAGATAAAAATAAAATTTAGATTTCTAAGTTAATAAATAAAAAAAAGAATGTTTAATTCCTCACTTATATTAAGTAATTCTATTATTTCTTCTTTGTTTCAAGTTCCTCATAGGTATTAGAATATGAAATGTATTATATATTAGAGAATTTATTGAATCAATAAAACAATGATTATTTTGGATTTTTGAAAAATGATTAAATTTTATTAAAAAAATAATAAATGGTGAACGTCCCCAAAAACAGAAAGACCTATTGCAGAAAATGTGGAAGTCATTAAAGTTGCAAAGTGTCCTAATACAAAAAGAGCAAGGAAAGTCCTTTTGCTTAAGGCAGAAGAAGGTACGACATGAAGCAAGCTGGTTATGGTGGACAAACAAAACCCATCTTCAGAAAGAAAGCAAAGACAACCAAAAAAGTTGCCTTAAAGTATGACATTTGTTAATCGTTTTAGACTTGAATGTGTTAAGTGTAAATTGAAGTGGTTAAAGGTCATCAAGAGATGCAAGACTATAGTATTTGTTGATGCCAATCAACTCAAAAAATAATAAGAAGCAAAGAAAAATGCCAAATGAGATTTACAATAGTATAAGATACATTAAGTATTTAATAAATCATAAACATATTCTTTGAAATCTCAAGAATCGAGTATCTATTCTTTTTTGTTATTCTGAACACCAATCCTCTAAAGAGACTTAATCTGATTTAAAAATGAGTTTTTCTGAGATGAATGGGAGCCATATAAAAATATTCAAAAATATTTTGTGTCTGCATTATATATTTATATATAAAATTATAAAATAATGAAAATATCGGATAAATTAAAGAGTTCTTTGGAGCAATGTGTTTCAGAATAGTATTAAAGTCTATACGACATACTGTCTTCATAATAAGGAGTTGATTAGTTTTAATACTTAGTGAAAGGATTTCAAGAGTAAATAACAATTCGAATGCTAGAAAATCTTCTGAAGATTACATGAAAACAGTTCCTACTCCAATCAATAGATAAGTGAGATCATCATAATCGAAGAGTTAATTCTAATAGTTTCCTATTCAAAAATCAATTTTTGAGGATCCTGGCTTAGTTTAATTGACTTATTTTCAATTTGCCAATGTGATGGATGAATTCTTTTTAGAAATCAACGAAACTTAGATCATAGAATGGTTTTAGCTATTACAAATAAATGAGAAAGTCTAAATAAGAGATTTTTATATAATAGTTCTGATGTTTTTGAGTAGAGATAGCAAACAATAGTTTGACTATTTATATCAATATGGAGAATACTTATTCGAATGTTTGAAACAAACAAATAATAAAATTTTAGGGTTGACATTAAAAATATTTGTTAAGGTATCTTAAGTTATTATAATAATTAAGCTATGTGGAATGCAAGCTCGACAATCCTAGAAGTTATTTACTGAATTGAAAATGAAATAAAATGAAGAATACACTTTCGACGATTTTGAAGTCTTTTGTTTCGCATTCATGAATCCTGAAAGTCTTTAAGGTTAAGGTGTCTAATAGAAGTTTATCAAATAAACTCATTAGAGCAAACATGATTTTAATCAGCATCAAATTATCAAACCAAAAATTGATAAAAAATGATTCTATTTTATATCGATAAAAAGCTCTAATTTGAAAGTAATAATTTTATAATGCGTCAAATCAATATTCTAAATAATAATAATCCTATTAATTGATCATTTCTAATATAAATCAAAACTATTCTTCGATAGCTGATAAAATTATCTCAGAATGCTCTTTTTACACAATCTTAGCTAAGATATAGAAGTCTATTCCGTTTCTTCCTGTTGCCATACATGTCCTTTAAATTTATTTTACTTAATACCTATTTCCTTGACTATAATCATGTTATTTTTTGTTTAGTTTGATAGATTCAGTCTTTTAATTTTATTAATTGGAATTGTTTTGCTATATTGATTCTTGAGTTGAAGTATTTTTTTATTGTTATTGATTGTTCATAATTAATTTTTATCATCAAAAACTTTCAAGCTCAATTCAAATATACAAAAAAATTCAAAAGAAATTATCAGATTTTGTTTAATTAAAACTTTATTAAAATTTATGAACATGAAACTAACAAATGATTTTTTGATCTTTTATGCTTTTGTTTCATTTAAATTTGAAAGTCCTTATTGTTTAATTGCTTCTCTTATTTTTGTAAAGAATTCCTTAAAATCCTTTTCATGAATCTTAGGTTATTGAATTAAATATTGCTAGATTGGTTTCATTTATTCATTGATATGGAACTCTATACATTGCTACCAGAATTCTAACGTGACTTTTTTTAAATGTTTCAATTGTTAATCTCCAGCGATTATAAATGCAACCATTATTAATCCAATTACTATTAATAGCTATTACTACTGATTCATAAATCTCACAAAAATTTCAGAATAACTCAAATTCTTAGATTAAATTTAAGTCATTATGCACCCAAAAATTTTAAAGATGCTTTCCCTTAAAGTCTACGCTCAGTTTCAATCATTGATTACAAAGAGCTGGATCTTTGTTTATTTGATGGCAATTAACTCATTCAATTATCTCCTTCAAAATTGATTATGAATTTCTAACATTGGATACCTGTTTAAGCATTTTGAAATTCTAGCAATCTGCTGCACAAAAATTATTTATCTATACAAAACTGACTCCAGAATTAAATGAGAGAAGTGCGTTTATTCACATTCTTTATAGTAGATGAATTTTGAAACAAGAAGTATGGACATCAACAAAATAAAAAAAGAATGAAGTTATTATTATAAATAATAAAACAATTTGTCGAATAAAGTATTTACGTGTGAATTGGATATATATTAAATTTTATTTAATTGTCATAACATTTATCAATTTCAAAGATTGTGAACATTTTTTTTCAATATCTCCTAATATTATGAGTAATTTGCATTCCAATTTTGTAACAATTAAGGAGCTGACACCTTGCATAATTCACCAATGCTTTCCACATTAGATTCATTAACATCTTTATATGCTGATTCCATAATGTGAGCCAAGAGCACATCCTTTATTGAAATGCCGCTTACATCTTGAGTGGTTATTTCTACATTTAGTTTGTTATAAACATTAATCCATTTAGGGTAATCTATATAAAAACGAAAAGTTACGATTCATTTAATCGGCCATATGTGAAACTGTATTCATGAAAACAAATGCTTATTTGAATGTTTCGAATTTGTACTCTTTTGATATTGACTTTGAACTCTAGAACTATAATTAAAGTTTCATACAATTTTCCAACTTTTCTCTAAAGAGTGAATTTAGAGAGAGAGCTTAACATCTGTGTCATCCAATTTAGAAGGAACAATAGAGGCTACATCCTTAAGATCTTTAATAAACAATTTGATAGAGTCTAGGTTTGCTGCTTTGTTTAGAGTGAATCGTTATTTTGAAAGATGATGAAGCATAATAAATGTTAACTTAATTAATAAGATTTATTAACAAAGAATTAATTTATACAAACGATTAGTCATCATTTCCCTCTAAATTGAACTATTTGTGATGACTTAAGACATTTATTTTGGTTGTATTACATCTCCTTATAAATGTTCTTAAAAAATGCATTTACCGAATACATATAAAATTTAAATGATTTCCATTAAATTAACAAGATAACTTGCTAACACTTAAATAAAAATTATTTAAAAAATATGTACTAAACTGACCCCAGATAACAACAGCCTTTCCAATAAAACAACATCTACCAGAGTTCGCCTATTTAGAGTCAATATGTATGAGGAAGATGCAAATTCTTATTTTAGCTTTCATCACCAGGAATGGCCTAACAATATCAGCAATCACCTTAAAATCCAATAATTCAATCTCCACAAACTTATTAGCCACAATAATAATTTGTATTACTAAACTATTTATTCCAAGAGCTCCCAGTATTAGATCCCCTCGTCATAACAATTTCTGTAGCAACCATAAATAAGACAGCCTCAACTATAGTCCAATCAAATTTTGCCTGTAACTTCATAAGCATTCGGTCCAGTACAACCTTAAAGTCCTATTAATGTCAGACCATCCTATTAACAAGTGAATTTCTAAGTTGCTCCCCCTGTTCAGCAAGTTGTCGTCCAATAACCAGTGGTACAATAATTTAACGATAATTTCAATAGGCTGTTCAACCACAAGCTTAAGTTTAAGAATTCAGACATGTTGAGAGACCATTATAAGTTATCACAGTTGATGGTAATTATATTGATGAGTATATTTCTCAGAAATCGAAGCCCCCTGGAGATTGAAGTGTGCCACTTTGGAGAGACAGATTTTGGAATTGTAAATTTAAATTAGAAAGAACAATGGAACTATTGTTGAAGAAACAGTATAAGAAATTCAGGATGATACCAAAGTGAAAAATTTGGAGCTACAAAAATTGGAATTAGAATAAAAAATTCATGATGATGAATCATTTATGAATGAGTTAAGAATTAGACTTGAGGAATTGAGACAAGAATATGAAGTCATCATTACTGAAAAAGTTACCTATGCATCAAATGAAGTAGAAACTTGGATGAAAAAATATGCTAATTTAGAAAAGAGTTATGCTGAAAGCAATTAAAAAATTGCAGAATTGAAGAGACAATTGGCATAAGTTGAAGCTGCTGACAAAGCCATGTAAGATTAAAAGAAATCTGAAGTTCGTTCAGAAGTTCGTAGAAGTTCTAAAATGTATTGAATTTAACAATTTCATTAAACAAGTTAAGATATAAGAATTAATAAAAAATCACTTTCTATTACAAATCAAGTGATAAACCGCTTGCTATATTGAGCTACTATTTTATATCTGTTTAAATTGGAAATTCCTTTCATTCTCTATTCTTATGTCATCAACCTTTAGCAATTCCATCAAGTAGCTTTCCAATTCTATTAATTCCTTTAAAAATATAAACAATACAATATTACATTGTCTTTTTTATTATCTAGATATGGAATGATTGGTATTCCATTGCTCAATTAATAGGCAAATGAATAAGCTGAGTTATCAATTAAAATTATATCCTCTAAATTTCTATTTAAGGATCTTAAGTCTTTGATATGGCACCCTTTCGAAAGGTTTATGCAATCATTTCTATAGAAACGATATTTCACTAGTTCTTTTGTTGGATCCAAATAATCTATTATCTAATTCGCATAGTCTTCGTTTGAAGCTGTGTAGATCATGATTTCAAAGTGCTTGGCCATATTCTATAGAAATTGTTGAGTGTGAGGTCGAACACTAATTTCAGCCTAGTTTGGAATATCATTGAATTCATTACTTTGACAATAAATCCATTGTTTAAATTAATGTTTATCTCTAGATCTTTGGGCATTAGACATGATTCATTGCAATGTACTAAGGTTTCATCTAGATCTATAACCAATGTTTTTTAGCGAACTTAATGATAACACTAAATATATACTTGTTTGTGATTTGATTTTAGGTAAAATTTAATAAGTTTCAGGTTAATTTAACATTTTTGATTTTTGGAGAATTTCATAGGTTTGAATAAAATGATTAATGTACATTTATGCCATAAATGTATCAACTTACTCTCCTTTAATTAAGTTAATTAATTTATCAGTATAATAAATTTTTCTATTTTTTGATTAATTAAAATCTTCAATTCGAATTTATTTCATTGTTTCTACATCTTTTGATTCTTCCTTAGATTCATGAATTGGTTTTTGATTATTTTACTATTATTTATTATTTGTTCCACTCTGTTCTGCTCCTTCCCCTTCTAATTGCAAATCCAAAGCAGTTGGCAAAGAATTATTACTGTCCATGGCAATGGTTGATTATTTATAAGACTTAAATCGTTTGCGAATGAGTTTTCTTCTGATCGCCCTCTATTTACTGAAGAAATTATTTGAAAGACAACACTTTTTAGTATTTTAAACTGGGATGAGATTATCTTCAAGGCTCGGAACTTCTTCAAGGTCTTAAGCTTCTGGAACGGCTAATGGTGTAACAGTCTATATGAGATTAACTCAAATGAAATACTTATGAATCACTTTAAGCTTCATGCCCTGTTTGGCAAGTCTCTTTGGGACCTTAAATTTAAGTCTCATATTGTTGAGTTTGCTTCTTAAGCATACTATTGTTAGTTTATTTGTTGATTTAGCATAACTCAGAAGCCTGTCCATTGACTTAACAAAATGTTTCAGACTATACACAGATAAGTTGATGATGATACTTATTCAATTAATTGCAGATTATTTTGTGAATAATTTTATGCTTGGACTGTTCTCGAGAAATGTCCCTCTATCTTTTAAGCTATCATTTTATATTAATTATTATATTTGTAGAGTAATATTATAGATTCTAAATACTGACTTTAAAAAAAGGTTCCAGTGTGAGGACTTCTTTGAATTCTAACCACATTTGAAATATAATATAAAAACTTTAATAAGTATCGATTCAATTTATATTTTAAATTTTACAATATCGTTTTGCAAATATTTATTGGTTAGCAGAATTTAATAAAAAGCGAAATTTCTTCATCTCACTTGTATTTATGATATTCTCTACTCTAATTTCTTCCGTATTCCTTGTTTTTTTGATTTTATCCATATATGTCTGAACATACCTCGCTATCCGTTAATCATCAAACATTTTCAACTAATTTAAGTTAAATAATTACTTATTATATTTATGAAGGAAATATACCAATCTTTCTAAGGAACATCTCCCTTTCTTAGTTAACTTTCTATTTTGCCTCGTCCATAAACAAAATAATGCATCATCTAATTGCAAGCATATCGCGCATTTGAGTCAAAGTTTAAGAGACCAGAAACTCGAGTCAATTTCATTGATCTAAATATTCCTTTTGGATTCTTTTACTTAATTTCTAAATTTGATGTATGTTCTAAAGTTCATTACATTAATATTAATTTTAATTTTAATTGTATTCATCTTATTACATTTTTATTACATTAAAATTAATGTTGCTTTATATATTTCTCTATTAGTTTTCTTACAAAATACACCCCAATTCTTAGGCTGTAATATCATTTTTCATTATTTTACTACTGTCTTTTGCAAACTTTATATCATTTTATATATTTTCCACCTTTTGAAATGACATTCCACATTTTAGTCATAAATACAATTCTCTAAATTTCTAACAACCAAATGAATTATAATTTAAGATTTTTCTTGAGGATTAATTACTTTGGATTCTATATAAGAATTGTCTATGGTTATGATATTCTCGCAACCTTATTTAAAACAAGGAAATAGTTTTAATAAAACCAAAAGCAACTGATGACTAGATAAATAGTTAGAAACGTTAATTAACAATAGTTAAATTAATATAATATATATATTAATTAATGAAAATTCTCATTGATAAAGAGTAAAAAATACTTGATTATTGATTTGAAATGTTGTCAGATTGAATATCGAGTCTCTATTTAAAAAGGCGAATGGAAAATGAAACTACACCCTTACTCTTATATTAATTAGAATTTTCATTCTATTTTATCATCAAATTCAATATGACTACATCTCAATTCTAGTAAATTAGGTTCATATGAATTATATTATATCTAAAATAGTACAAATTGTTAGCTATATATTTGAAATTATTATTAATTTGTCATACTATTGATGAAATATTTTTGAATAGAATGAATTCATTATGTATTCGTTGTCTCATTATATTAAGAAATCTAGATTGTTTGCATTCTTTTTAATTTCCATTGTTTTTTCACTTCTATTGATTGTTTTGTATGTATAGCACAGCTTTATTTTAAAAAATTTAAAGATTTTTTTTTAATTTATGGGCAAAAAGGAAAAAGGAAAGCCAAATCCATTGGGTGAAGTCAGCAGAGATTATACTATTAATCTCCATAAAGCTGTTCACAAGGAGACATTCAAGAGAAAGGCTCCACGTGCAGTCAGTCATATAGTCAGATTTGGTATATAAATTGAATTAATGGGATAGCTCAAAAGAATATGTTGACAGATGATGTTAGAGTTGATCCATAATTGAATGAAGCAATATGGGCTAGAGGAATTAGAAATTTACCAAGAAGAATCAGAGTTAGGTAGTGTGATTAACATTATTGTTTGCAGACTTTAGAGAAAGAAGAAGGAAGAAGATGATGGAAAAGGAAAGTACTATACTCTTGCTTAGTACGTGCCAGTTGATTCATTTGCTAACCTCAAGACAGAAATCACAAAAGCATAATGATTCCAATATTGTACAATACAATATATAAATACATTATTTTATTTTTAATTAAAATTGGTCTTAGATCAATAATTCAAATCAATGATAAAGGGAGAGAGAGTGAAGGAGAACAGTGAGATACTATTAAGAGAATAAAAGAATAATTGTATTCATATTTCTGTAAAATTTAATTATATATAACATATTAATTACTTAATCTCTAGTCTTAATTGGTATAATTCATGTTATAATGTTATACTATCTTTAATAATTGATATTTTAAACAACTAGATGGTANTAACAACCAAATGAATTATAATTTAAGATTTTTCTTGAGGATTAATTACTTTGGATTCTATATAAGAATTGTCTATGGTTATGATATTCTCGCAACCTTATTTAAAACAAGGAAATAGTTTTAATAAAACCAAAAGCAACTGATGACTAGATAAATAGTTAGAAACGTTAATTAACAATAGTTAAATTAATATAATATATATATTAATTAATGAAAATTCTCATTGATAAAGAGTAAAAAATACTTGATTATTGATTTGAAATGTTGTCAGATTGAATATCGAGTCTCTATTTAAAAAGGCGAATGGAAAATGAAACTACACCCTTACTCTTATATTAATTAGAATTTTCATTCTATTTTATCATCAAATTCAATATGACTACATCTCAATTCTAGTAAATTAGGTTCATATGAATTATATTATATCTAAAATAGTACAAATTGTTAGCTATATATTTGAAATTATTATTAATTTGTCATACTATTGATGAAATATTTTTGAATAGAATGAATTCATTATGTATTCGTTGTCTCATTATATTAAGAAATCTAGATTGTTTGCATTCTTTTTAATTTCCATTGTTTTTTCACTTCTATTGATTGTTTTGTATGTATAGCACAGCTTTATTTTAAAAAATTTAAAGATTTTTTTTTAATTTATGGGCAAAAAGGAAAAAGGAAAGCCAAATCCATTGGGTGAAGTCAGCAGAGATTATACTATTAATCTCCATAAAGCTGTTCACAAGGAGACATTCAAGAGAAAGGCTCCACGTGCAGTCAGTCATATAGTCAGATTTGGTATATAAATTGAATTAATGGGATAGCTCAAAAGAATATGTTGACAGATGATGTTAGAGTTGATCCATAATTGAATGAAGCAATATGGGCTAGAGGAATTAGAAATTTACCAAGAAGAATCAGAGTTAGGTAGTGTGATTAACATTATTGTTTGCAGACTTTAGAGAAAGAAGAAGGAAGAAGATGATGGAAAAGGAAAGTACTATACTCTTGCTTAGTACGTGCCAGTTGATTCATTTGCTAACCTCAAGACAGAAATCACAAAAGCATAATGATTCCAATATTGTACAATACAATATATAAATACATTATTTTATTTTTAATTAAAATTGGTCTTAGATCAATAATTCAAATCAATGATAAAGGGAGAGAGAGTGAAGGAGAACAGTGAGATACTATTAAGAGAATAAAAGAATAATTGTATTCATATTTCTGTAAAATTTAATTATATATAACATATTAATTACTTAATCTCTAGTCTTAATTGGTATAATTCATGTTATAATGTTATACTATCTTTAATAATTGATATTTTAAACAACTAGATGGTATAAGAAAGAGGCATGCCCTAATTAATTAAAAAATGAAAAAAAAGTGAAATAACGATGAAGTTCGTTTTATTTTATTAAAATAGATTTTATAATGAGATATATTTCTTTATATATGAGGAATATGTGATTTAACTTAATTACAATAAATTTAAAGTGATGTGTAGTATAGTATTGTTGTTTGAGTAGTGTAAGAATTTAATTGAATTCTAAAAAGTGAGGTTTAATGAAATGATTCAAAACATATAATGTGTGTTATATTGATTTATTATATTTCATGCATCTAGATTGAATAATTTCACAGCAGCAGGGTCGTTGATCATAAATGCTGCTTTCTAGGATTGGCGTACGAATTCTCGTACTGTATTTTCACTCCTTCCCAATTTAAACAATGCCTATTATAAATTAAATGAATATGTATACTTTCAAATAGGATTCAAGTTACTTTCCTCTTTTTTCAATGAAATCATTGTCGAGATTTCCAAAAAGTCTTTTTTCTGGAAATTTTGGTAAATTGGATTTGAGATTCTTTGATAACTTTGAACTCAAACTCTCCAATAGGCTATATCTAGTTTAAAAAGTCCAGAAAAGAGTTCCTTTTTTTATTTTAATTTCATAGACAGTGAAACTATTCTGAACAACTTTGGTGTTGATAATCTCGATTTCAAAGTCGTTATTCTAGAAAAATGTTTAAAATAATAGATTTACTTCTACTGTCGATTGGGTTTTGGCTTTGATGGGTCGTCTCTTGTTTAGGAAGGAGAGAATAGGTAATTCTGCCATCTATTCATCAATCAAGGATTATTGAGATGATTATAATAAAGCAAACTATTGATTTTGGTTGGACATTGTTGTTTTTGATGAAACAAAAGGGGTTGGGGAAAGTTAAACAGGTCTTAACTTATTTTAATTAATGTAATTGACTCTCTTTTAAATGCTTCTTTAATTATAAAATTTTAATGAACCAAAAGAAAAAAAGAAGAGTATTTTCTTTTCAAATTAAAAATTTGGCAGGCACATTATCAGAATTGTTTGATAGTTAACAGACTACAAGTAGAAAATAAAATGAATAACCGAATATCAAGACATTGTTGGCTTTCAATGAAATCGATTAATTCTATTCCCCAAAGGAATCTGGATCAACTACACAGAGATCTATTCCAAGGTTTCGCAAGAATTCAATCAGTCCCAAGCATTCTTACATCTATTCTAGGAAAACTATTCAAACACCTTTGACAATACGGTCATCATTAGTTATGCTTAATCAATTTGAATAACAATTCGGTGATAGTATTCAAGCTAATGATCAAGTTGGAGCTATTGAAAGTAACTAACATTTTTGATAAGGTCTACTAAATATGATGGTAATAGCAGTGGAATAAGATAACATCACTTTACTCATAACTTTTATGCGTCTGAGTGCATTAACATTTATCTCTTTTTAAGAATGGACCAAGGCACTCCTTTTCTTATAACATTGTAAATTTCTAAGTGAATTCACCAGATAGTTTGATGTAATTTAATGGACATTTCTTCAGATTGGAATTTTGTGTAAATATGTTAAGAAATACGATCTGGGTAAAATATTCATAAAGAAAGTAATACTTCATAAATATATAAATATAGTCATTAGAGTATGCATGGCACTTGAAAGATATCGATTAAGAAATAATCTGTTATGAGGAACTTGGAAAATTATGCTTTCTCAATTACGAATTAAAAACAGCTAAATCTTTACATGATAAAAGTATGAAAGGAACAGTTGAGAAAGAGAAGTCTGCCATGAAAATGGTCTCATAAAAAGGCATGTAATAAATCATAAAGATGTTGCCATAAGAAGAGAAGAGAATGGGGTTACACATTTTTTCTAAAGCTGTAAGTTTTCCCATCAAATTAATTCAATGTTAAAATCCTCTCTATTATTAAAGAAGATAAGTGAAAAATCAACATATGATATCACATAATTTAGAATGCATACCAAATTAAAGAGTTATTGATATTGATATTTCATTGGATGAGATGTTACAATAATTTCTTAAAGGAAAGAATTTTGCCTTCGAAATTCCCATACCAATTTCTGTGGCTGATGAGTATGAAAGTATAAAACAGTAAAGTTCTACACCCAAAATATAGTAATTAAAACAAACCTAGGCAGCTACTTTAATTAAATTATCCACTTTAAAGTTGCATCCAACTTCAAACAAATAACCAATCATAAGATTAAATGATTTTTAGAAGAAACTTCCTTTAGAGGAGATGATTAGATAACGTTTGGAGATGAAATTTGAAAATCCTATCACATCTACAGAAACGATCAGGAACAGAAAATTCTCCAGTAATTTAGAATTAATCAGATTAACACATGAGAGAGATGGAATTGCTTTGAGTGTAGAACATTAGAAACGAGGCTTAATTAAATATGCCTAGAAATTACTGAACCAATAATAAATTACTTTCCTATGATTAAAAGTATTGTTTTAATGATATATAAAAATTTATTCATTTTATAATAAATCTAGACATTCAACTATTCAAGAATTGTTAGTATTACTTGTATAAGTATAGTTTAGAAATCTATACAAGGATTCAGATAAGACTTTGAGTTCTTACAGATTTGTTAAATTCTTTGGATTTCATATTAAAATCTGACTGTGTCGATTAGATATGAATGAATTCTTGAATCATAAGAATCTGTTTGTATAGAGAGTGTTATTATTATGTTATTATTATTATTATGAAATGGCAATAACATAATCGAATTTTTACATTATAAAGATTAAATGTACATGATTTTATTATATTTTTTCAATAGCCTAACTTCTCTAACTCTGAGTTGATTGTAGCGAGTTCTTTAGCTCCGATGGCCTTTCTTCTGAGGTTTTCTTTGCTAATCTTTCTCTTGTAATAGGCAGCACCTCTAATTGAAGTGTTAAAAATGCACGATACCTTTGCTTTCTCTTCTCTTCAAGTCTGTTAACAACAGCTTATGAATTCCATCCAACTGAGGCACATAAATCACCTAAAGAACAGAAGGGTCTGTGATTCTTGAGTCTGATCAATTTGAGAGCATCTGGAACAACTTATCTCTTTCTTGTGTCATAGGGAGGGGGGACTCCTTCAAAGACCTTTAATCTTTCTAAAGCAGCTGCTCCTCTTTTTGATTTATATTGAAGCATTCCTCTGACTACTTTCCAAAAACATCTTGATGGAGTTCTATAATGTTTGTATCCTCTTCTTGGATTGAAGGCCATTCTCTTATTGAGATATTCTTCAAAAATGACTCTATTTCTGAAGAGGGAACCTGCTTTAGTAACAACATCATACCTGATTGTTGAATCAACTCAGTTCTGACTACAACAATCCTTTAGCCCCTTTACAATTGCTTGGCAATATAAGAAGCCAATCGACCCAACAAATGTCCCTTGCCATCAATCACGATTTCTTTCTCAAACATTAAATTTTAAATAAATTTTCAAATCATTTCATCCATTCCATTAGCCAATATTAAATATCATCAAATTTATTTATAAAACACACCCATATCCAAGAAGATTATTAAAAAAGAACACCATTTTTAACCCAATACGGATCTAACATTTTGTAATTAAAATCAATAAATTTTATCATATATTTTAAGTGGAATTAGTACTGCCAGTCACTCCATGATCATTGTATTCGTAATCCTTGAACATATCTTGAATGGAATCCCTTCTCAAAGCACTAGCATTTTCTTGTATCAAAGCATCCTGAGAATCATGATCCGATGAAATCTACCTCTTGAAGTCCAGATCCTCGGAATAAGCCAACTCACCAAAAGGAGAAGGCATAGTCTTATCAATCAGACTTTACCAATTCAGATTTTAAAACCAAGGATGCTTCATAATCGACTAAATCCCATCAAATCCCAATCTACTTTATTGTTTCCTTTGCAACAACTACCCATAACAAATTCCATATACTTAGTTGCAAATATCTGCACTTTCACTGCTCCAACCATCTTATCTTTTGATAGTAACTTACTTAGTTAACATCATCTCTTTGATTTCCTTACGAGATCTACCGACATAAGGCCTTCTTCCAAGCATAAATTCGTGTATCATGACTCCCAAGGCAAAATGATCAACTCCTATTCCATGATTCTGTCTGCACATTACTTCTGGGGCTATCTGACTTAATATAATTACTAACCCATATATCCTGGAGTGCCACTTGTTTCTTAACTATTTTCTGGCTTTAACACTCTTGCTATCCCGAAATCAGTTAATCTCGGGTAACCCTTCTTGTCAAATACTACATTCTCAGGTTTAATATCTCTATGTATTATGTTATTGTTCTGCAAGTACTCCAAACTCAATAATAAACAAGCAATGATGAATTCTACATTAGGGTATGCTCTTTACTTGTTTGCCATTCAGTGAAACGACGGTTCACTCCAATATGATATCTTAAATCTCCTCCTGTTAAGAGATCCATCACTAAATAAAGGTGATCTCGATCTTAAAATGCAAAGTGAATGTTGGCAATGAAAGAATGTCTTAGTTTACTGAGGAGTATCCTTTCATTAATAACTGAATGGACAGACTTCTTTGATAAGATTCTCAATTAACGTATTAAAATACTTGGCTTTACTCATCTCTTTCATTGCGTATTACTTTCTCGTCTTACAAAGCTCCACTCTCCACACTTTCCCAAATCCTCCCTTTCCAAGCACAAACAGGAATTTAAAACTACCTTTGTTTAGATCTTCTCGAATTAGAGATTGCTGATGCAACAACTTCTCAGGTGTTTAAACAGCCTATTTCTTAGCTACACTCTCATTGATCTTTCTCTTCAAGGCTTTTTACTAATTAAGTTACATAAACTCACTAATATTTGTTCATTGAAGATCTACATCTAAATCTAATATTTTGGACTTTGAGGTACTTAAGGTACTTAAGGAGGACTTACACTTAGCATTCTCTATTCTACACGACTCATATTCCGAGTCCTCCATTAAGGGGAAACGGGTGGTGATACAGGAACTGGAGCCTACTACCCACTAGACATTTTGAATGAAGGCAATTTGGATGGTCTTTGCTATCTTTGTCGAGTGCTCACAGGACTTTTGAATAATTATTAGTAATTGTGGGGTTCAATAAAGTTTTAGTGAATTGGGAGCATCTCCTTTATGTTTCTGCGAGGTCCTAAATTCATGATTAAAATTATTATATCAAAATATAGCAATAGTTTGTTGTTAAATCCAAATAAACTCTTTGAGTGGCAAGATGGTTCAACAAAAGTTTATAATTGACCAATAATATCAATATAAAATAAATTAGAAAATGGACTTTACTGCTGTTAATCGATCTCCACTAAACACTAGCAAAACTAAATAAATGTATACTTTCTCGAAGGCCAAACGTTGGGTCGATCCCAAAGACAACATGTTACCATTCCTTAATTCACATTTAGTTGCCCTCCAATTTATCAGTTACCTACTACTTTGAGTAAGAGAGCAGCTGGAATAGGCTATGGCAAGAAGATGAACGTAACCCAGGAAATAGTTTCGCCAGCTCCCAACTCTTATTCAATTCAAACCACTAGGGAACATGGTTGGACCATGGGATTGGGCAGAGATGTAACTCTATTGAGCCGAATTTAAGCGCGCAAATAAATTCGAGAGCATCTTCTTGGGCTTAGTCTAAAAGACACCTGGACCAGGATCATACAATTATAAGGAAACCAAGTCTAAAGTTCGTTACAGCATGAGACAACGATTGAATAGCAGAGCCAGCAAAGATCGAAAACCTGGACCGTATTCCTATGAACCTATTCTAGAGGCGATTATGACTTACCGAGCAGCATAAACAGTCGAGGCAAGTATGCCGTCAGTTAATATCGCGAGTACTGTGTGTTTCTATAGAATCACTAGTTCAGGAGCCGTCGTTCTTTCCCCTCCCAAAGTCCAATCAGATAGAAAAATACGGGATAACACTCCAGGACCAGGGACATACAAAGAAACAGACAATCTGGATCCCTTGGGTAGTTACTTTTGTTCCAAATTTGGTGCAAGCAAATGTAACGTATTTCCAAGAGCCTAACGGATACTATCAGAAAACAGAGAGGGATCGCCTGGACCTGGCTAATATAAGTTGCCTTCCGATTTCGGTTGTTGACATATTATTATTGTTAATCTAGTTTAACTATATTGTTTCATATTAATTTATTGATAAATAATTTGAAAATGCAATTCCAAACGATAAAAAAAGAATTATTGGTTAAGCAAGCACCTAAACATGAGAGTTGTATTGCTAAAATCTTCAATTACAATCCTTCCTAAAAAGGACTGTAAATAAAAAGGAATCTATTCCAATCAGAATAACCATAATGTAATCAGGTATTTATAGGTGAGTTATTTTTTGATTGCTAAAACCCTTGAGTCAATGAAATTGCAAGAATCCATTGCTTTAAAATCATAGGCAATTAATGATCAAACAAAAAAGAAAAGTGATAACAATAATCGAATGACATTCAAATTAGAATTTGACAAGAAAGCCAATTTACAAACGCAAAGGAGGAGTCAAGATGCTTTGACTATAGAAAAAAAGCCCAACAACTTTGCCATTATTTAAAATATGTTTGATTTGGAAACCAAGAATTTAGAAATGTATATGCAGGCATAAGAAAAGAAGACTTAAATTTAACAATTGTAATCCCAAGTGGAGTAATAAAATATTAAATAGGAATAGTAAATTCGCCATTAAAATGAGGAGAAGGATGAATTACTATAAAAGTAATAATTACATTGATCCTTATAGAATTCAATAATTGGAACACTAATGTGAGTAGCAGAAGAGATACATCGAATAAATTCCTTTGATGTAAGCAGAGGCGTAGGAGTGGAAAGATCGCTTTCTGAATTTGAACAAATTGTTCCATCAATCTCAAGAAGTGATTTTCAGAATTGAGGCAGAATAATAGAGTAGTTAAAGAAGAACTTTGAATTTTAAAGTCTGAATGAGAGAAGGGGTTTGAGATCCAGAAATTAGTGAATATATTATAATAAAAATACATTCATTCACATTCTAGTAGAGTCTTTATTTTTAATTTATCTTGTTCGCTCAATGCACTAACATATTCTGATGGTCTACCTGGAGATATCAAAGATTGTTAATGAGTGAGTTGAGTAATTTGAATTTGTTATAATTAGATTTATTATTTCAATTTTTGATTTTCTTATAGCAGTTTATCATATTCTTTTTCCATGTTTTGATGCTTTTTCTAATTTTTTATAGTTAAATTAATTACATTGGACTCTTTAATTTATTTAATTTCTTTCTATAATTGCATGATTTACAAATCTTTGTCAAGAAGTTGTTTTTAATAAATGATTGATGGTTCTAACATAATCAAAATAGAATACTGTGTTTAGAGGATCTCTCCTCTTCTTGACTCTCTCCTGTTGTGGTTTTGGTGTAATTTGATTTTTCATTAAGTCTCTCCTGAAGAAAAGAAGAGACCTTGTTTGAATGATATTGGGAATCTGGAGTTTGCTTCGATGAGTAGATTTTAATGGCTTCTTAAATGGGGAAACTCTAGCCCTTTAAAATAAGCGAAAGGTTTACTTAAGTAGGTATTCTAGTTTTCAACTCTGTGGCTTGTATGATTTTGGGGTAGACATGGGAAGTAGTTAATATTTTGGATGGCGAATTGGATCTACCATCGAATTAGTGACTTCTTCTTGGATTATGCGTAACAACAACATGGGTGACTGGAGATTGTTTTCTGGATTCATATTATCTATACAAAGCAGAAGCTGACTAACGATGGTTGAAGTTCTAAGATATTAAATGAGTAATTTGACTTATAATGGAATCATTTCTTTCCTAGGTTTAGATGAGGTAATGTTTGAATATTAAATTTAAAATATTCACATAAATATTATATTAAACATCTAGAACAAAAGGAATTCAAACTATTTTAGTTCCATGAACTTCCTTTAAATTACAATACTAAACCAAGCCTAGATAATTCTCTCTGGTTATTCCTCCACCAGCTAAAATTGTCAATTAAGGAAAGAGTTCTACAATCTCTTTGATTGAATGCTTCCCCTCCAAGGCCGATTTATACTTTCCCCCTTTGGTAAGAACTCTTTTGATTCCCAAACTAATGAGCTACTCTAAACTTTCATGATAATTATGACAATCATCAATAGCCATATGGAACACTACCTGCATAGGGGATGCAATTTCGAGTAATATTTTCATTCTCTCCATATCAATTCGAAAATCAGTCGTCAAAATGCCTGTAACAATTTCTTTAACTTCAAGTGATTTGCAGATCTTGATATCCTCTATCATAATTTCAAATTCTTCAGCTGTATATACAAAATCACCACCCCTTGGTCGAATCATCACAACGATTGGATGTTGAACAGCCTTCTTTATGGTTCCAAAGGAAGGCGTAGTACCTCCTTGGGATAAATTATCGCATAATTCTATTCTATTAGCTCCGTTGTTGAGTGCAACGATTAATTCAGAGTAATTATTAACGCAGGCTTCTTTAATAATTTATTCCGTTTTTGTTAATTATATATATTTTCTTAAAATGAGATTCGTTATCTTATTATGTATGATCGGATTCGCAGTCTGTGATTTACCTGTCCATTGCTTAAAGCACTAGGTGTCAGGAAAGTGGAGACTATATTTGGAAAAACCCACTTAAAAGGGTGTTGGACTCATGCCATGTGGTCATGAAATTCCTGATAGGGCCAAGACATCCTATATGGCTTATTCTAGCAACTTTTAACCATCATAAGATTTTGAAGTTACTTTGGGAGATGATTATAAAGTTAAATCCAGTTCAAAATCAGGTGAATGGACCATGGTTTATGATGAAGGTTTTGAAATCAAACTAGGCAATATGAAATATTTTGCATTCTCAAAATACGAACCTAAGGGCAGAGAAGGAGTGTCATATTGTGATTAGACTCTTGTGGGATGGTACACAAATCTAGACACTTAAGAGAGGGGTTGTTATAGAGCTGAAAAAACTGAAAAAGTAGAGTCATCTGAATCCATCAAAACAGTCAGCATTGTCCAACCTGAATTTATGGATGATGATGATTTGAAATCTTTGTCATTCTTACAGGTTTAAGAAAAAACACCAGAAGTGAATCATGAAGAAGTCGTCGAAAAATTAAATCAAAAGGAAGGAACATGGAAGGCTAAAGTCTATGATCACATGAAGGGCAAGAGCTTTGCTGAGGTTGCTAAGTCTTTGGGAAAGAAGCTCGGATTCAAAAAGGACAAGTCATACAAGTAATAGGATTAAACAGCAAATAAGGTGTTTGTTCAAACTGCTGATTATTCAGAATTGCCATCTTCTTTCAATTGGAAAGAGTATATACAATATTTAATGAAATTAGGAAGCTTGCACCACCTAGACAACAAGGATAATGCGGATCTTGTTATGCTATAGCCACAATGTCTATGTTATCAGCAAGATTAAAAATACAAGGGGAAAATGTTGATCTCTCGCCCTAATGGTCTTTGAATTGCAACTATTACAATTAAGGATGCGATGGTGGTTATCCTTACTTAGTGAATAAGTTTGCTGAAGAATAAGTACTTGTCTCTGAAGCAACGGAACCATATCAAGGATTTGACGGATCTTGCAATTTCTAGAAAGCCAAGTCTTAATCAAAAGTGTATGCTACCAAGTTTATTATACATTTTAAATTCTTATAGGAACTATAAATATTTGGGCGGTTCATATGGCAGAGTTTCAGAATAAGTCATCATGTCAGAAATAATGAAGAATGGTCCTGTTGTTTTGAGTTTCGAACCATCCTACGATTTCATGTATTATGAATCTGGTATCTATCACTCCAAGGCAGAAACAAGCGACTATTCTGAATGGGTAATCAAATGTATTAATATCATTAGGAAAAAGTAGACCATTCAGTCTTATGTTATGGTTGGGGAGAAGAAGATGGAGTTAAGTTTTGGATGTTGTAAAACAGTTGGGGAGATCAATGGGGAGAACACGGAAACTTTAGAATGAAGAGAGGAGTCGATGAATCAGCTATTGAAAGTATGGCTGAAGCTTCAGATCCATATGTCATAAATTAGAATTCAAGTAAAAGCTTTTCTGAAACAAAATCAAATGAATCTGATTTCGATTATGAAGATGATGACAGTATCTTTTCTTTCAACTAGATTAGATAAAACTTAAAATGAAATTATAACAACATCATTACAATAATTTATGAATAATAAAATACTCATAAAAATACATTCATCCTCCTCTTGTATGTGATTAGGTCTTAGGATGTCTTGGTCGAATGGAACTTCTGCATAATGAGGGCTGGGTATAAGCAGTATCTTTAGAATGAATTCACGATTCTTATTTTGGCTTTGTCAATCTTCATTTTAATATTGTTGATATTGAATTTTGGATTATAATGCATGAAATTCTTAGGACTTTCAAAATCATAATTCTAAAATATATTGTATTCTGAATTTATCTTTATGGTGTCCTCAACATCATTAAGTAATTGAGGGTCCACTTTTTTTAATGATTTAAGGTGCTCGAACCTTAATTTCAATTACTTTAGCTGCGATTCTTGACTTAAATGATTCTAGTTTTGCCTGAATTTCCCTAGTACAATCATTAAAAATTTGGGATAGTATTTATCTATAAATGTGATCTTCTTGACAAGGTGTCTAAATTTAGCCATTAGTTGTTTCTTTTTATCTTCATTGTTTTTAGATTTACTCGTAAAATTTTTATAAGCATTTAAATTCTAAATTTTATTCTCATCCTCATCATCAATCAAAGGAATATCATATAATTAAACAACATCCTAATTTTCCTGTTGCACAACAAACGACGCCTTTATTAAAGATTAGTGAGTCATTTTCTTAGAAGGAAACCGAGGTTTCTTCTTTTCTGAACGCGGAATCAATTTTCTTTATTAGAATGTTGAAATTGCACTCTTTTTTATTATTTTTTCTCTATCAGGTACATAGTGCACAACAGGACACTCATGTGAATAATGTGTAAAGTTTTAACAGGCGTAACATTTTCTTGGAAAGATAGTAGTTTCATTTCCATTGAATAATAAATAGTCTTTCATCTGACAATAGATTTCATAGTCGTTAGGGAAATCTTTCAAAGTTTTTTTGAATTTCCTGTGCGATAAGGTCATTACCAAACAGAATCCTTGACTCTTATAGGTTTCTGGGAATAATTTGCCAGTTATAAATGGAATAAGCCCAATAGTTTGATTAGGATGGAAAGATTATAATTTTAGATTACATTATTAATCTCCATACATATCTATGATTCCAGATTCTATATACACTAGTTCTTTCTTGTCTCCAATAATAGTTTCAGGGGCTAATATCTTGGTCTTTAATGATTTGATAAGTTCTCTTTTGAAGGCTGGCGTAAAGCGATACCGAAATAGGGCACACTGGTTCAGAATCACAGAATTAGATTCTTAGGTCAATCTTTCTTTCAAGTTCTCAGATAATTGATTGATCATCTATGCTGCTTCTTCAGCATCCTTTTCCTTATTCAATTGCCAATAGTAGTTTAAATATTGACGTATTTCACTTTACAATTGAAATGGGATTCTCTTTTTTTGCATATAGGAATTGATGATTCTCAATTTGCGTTTCTTATCCTCGCCATATTCACTAATCTTGGAAATGATGGCTCCAACTGTGTTTATGCTGTAGGGCAATTGTAGACTTGCCATGATAATGAATAAACAACAAACAATTCTTTCTAAGTTACTTTATGGAAGGACATCACCATATCCAATAGTGAACATGGTAACAGTCGAATAGTAGACAGAGGATAAATATTGTATTTCCCATTCTTTGTCAACGATATTCTCCAACCAACTGACTCCATAATTGTTATGACTATAGTCACCAACCTAGAATGAATAATGAATTTACCCAAAACCAAAAACAGGAGAACATGTGGATGATGAAGAACAAGACTGCAATCAGTTTAATGAGTTCAATAATGGAGGAGGCTTTCTTACTAAGATTCAGTCCTTCTTCATAATACTCCAGACATTCTTGTATAGTACTGTAATGAACCAAGAAGGTTACCAGAGTGAGATAGATTTTGTAATCTTTGATCTGCTGAGTTATTATGGGATCCTGAGTGAGTATCTAATAGACCAGTAATTAGATTGCCGATGTCCATTCTAAACCAAAACATTTTAAAAAGTTATGTTAAACGATCTACTTTCTGTCTGTGACCAATTGACCTTGTTTATAGAATGCAGTGTTTAAACCAACTATCAAGTCTCCAAGAAGGACCATTTAGAATATAAAGGATGTCAAATTATACATGTCAAACATGAATGAATATTTACTCCATGCGATATCCAAGGGGATGAGAAATAAGAAGTATAATCTTGAAACCAAAGAGGCTGAATCCCAGATCAACTTTATAGGGGATTCTGGTTGGAATAGCTCAATACGTTTCAAACTTGAAATAAACATGTTCAAATATTTTGAGAAAAATTGTTTAATCTTCTCAAAAAACCTCAATTCTAATTGTAATGAAAAGTTTTTATGCATGAGTCTTATGTTGAAAGTGTTGGAACTGCGATAAGAGGTTTTATCACCCACATAAGAGATTTGTTCTTCTGAAATATTTCCTAATCTTTTTGATTGCGATTTGAGATTATTGCAAAATTGTTTGACATAATGGGTTTTACGTTCTTATTTTTGAGTCAGCATCTTTTGGTACATCATTATGGATTCTCCTCCAGAAGATTAAATTTAGATTTGTTGTCGAAAAGGGATTCCATCATTCCCATCTGTCAACAACTTGAGTCCCATGTTACCATTTAACATTTTTTCTTACATATTAAAATAAATTATTCAAATCAAAATCACATTCTTTCTTCTTCTATAATTAATGATATTCCGTATTGAAGGTTTGCATCCAAATCTTTTTATTATTTCCCCTGGGAATAGAAAGTAGGGCATGAATTTCATGATTAATCCAATCTTCAACTTGGTGTATAAATTGGGGATCCTTGATAAATTATTGCCACTGTTATAAAATTGATATTCACGATTGATTTCAAAATCATGTAAACTCTACTTTTAATGTAATTTATCAATAAGATCTTAAATTTCAAAAATCTCCTTGTGGAAATTCTTCTCATTCCTCTTCGCCAATTTCAGTCTATCATACAACTAAGCCAAAAACTATTCGTTGATCTGTGGATTCTTCTTCATCCTCGTTTTCGGAAGAATCCTCAATCTATTAATATATATAATCATTTTGACTATATGGATAAACCTGTGTTTGTACTCAGACACGATGTCCTTCTCATTGTAAAATGACACACTCCTGCTCTTCCTCATCTGTCTCTTGATCTCCTCAGAATCATAATACAATTTCATTCTCTCGAACCTCTGGGATTGGATCCTCCAAGCCGCCCTGGTCAATTCGGATAAATTCCCCCTGCAATTATTCTGTCTGAACTTGAATCTCTGTCTATTAATCTGTCTCTCCTGCAATTGCGACTT